TGCATCAGAGACCGCTGGAGTATCTTGGACCTGCATGTGCCATGTTGAGGCTGGGGTGGGTCATGATAACAGGGCTCTATTAGAGCCCAGAGAAAGAAGGAGCAACAAGCAGAGGGACCAACAGGCAGGCCCAAGCCCAGCCACTCAGCTTAAGCTCATCAGCACAAAAGTCCAGCCTGCTATGGGGCAGGAGGGGCCCTCTGGCCCACATGGTGTGCAAGCCCATGGTGAGCATTGGCTTACCGCCTTACTTTCTATTGTCAGTGCAACTCACCGCCTTACTTTCTATTGTCAGTGCAACTCACCGCCTTACTTTCTATTGTCAGTGCAACTCACCGCCTTACTTTCTATTGTCAGTGCAACTCACCGCCTTACTTTCTATTGTCAGTGCAACTCACCGCCTTAATTTCTATTGTCAGTGCAATTTACCACCTTAATTTCTATGGTCAGTGTTAGCTTTCTCCATATTTGGAGCAGTTAAGTTTGGGCATTCAAGAACCAAATACCTGAAAATAGGAGTCTCTGGAGGAATTCTTTCTCCATAACTCCCTTGACAATAAAAGGAGAGAAGTTTCCCCCTGAATGTCTAAACTCTAAGCTCCTACTATAGACTCCACACTCCTACTACAGTAGAGGTGGGAAATTGGCACAGATCTTACTCATATCATAGACAAGTGCAGGAGCACACAGCTATAGAAACATACTCCAAAGAAGTAGAAAGAAGAGAGTATACCACCAGATAACTAAAAATCAAAGCAGAGCCTGAAGAAATGGGGAGGAAATCAGGAAATACTTCTTCAAAGGATTATCACTCCTCACCAACTATAGATAAAACACCAGAGATCGCAGGAATGTCAGAAAAAGAATTCAGAATAGTCATTGTAACAGTACTCACGATATGCAAGAAAAAACAGAGAGCCAATTGCAGGAGATGAAAAATAATTCCATGACATGACAGAGGAACTCCATAAGGAGATAGACATATTGAAAAAGAATCAAACAGAACTTTGGAGGTAAAGAATACATTGCAGGAAATCAAAAGTTCCTTTGAAAGTATCATCAACAGATCAGACAGGGCAGAATAAAAAATCTCTGCCCTTGAAGACAAAATCGCTGATTTAGTCCAAGAAACTAAAATAATAGAGTAAACCTTAAAAATGAGTGCAATAAATGAGAACTCTTGGACATAGTTAAATGGCCAAATATCCATGTAATAGGTATTCCAGAGGCAAAGAAACAGGTAAAGGCATAGAAAACATCTTTTTATAAGATAGTAACTGAAAACTTTCCAAATTTAGAGGGGCATGTGGACAGCCAAGTCCAGGAGATACAAAGGAGGCCATGTAGGTATGACATAAGAAGATCCTCTCCAAGGTGTATCACAGTCAAATTACTAAAAATCAAAGACAAAGAGAAAATTCTAAAAATGGCAAGAGAAAAATGCCAAGTTACTTACAAAGTTTACTCTATTAGACTAACATTCAATCTCTCAATGGAAACAATGCAGGCAAGGAAAGAAGGGGAAGATATATTTAAGACTCTGAAAGAAAAGCAATTTCAGCCAAAAGTAATATACCCAGCAACAGTATCCTTCAAATGGGAAAGAGAAACAAAATCATTTCCAGGTAAACAAATCCTGAAAGAATTCAAAATGAAACCAGCTCTTCAGGAAATGCTTAAGGGTCTACTATACCAGGAAAACTAGAGTGACAAATAGAAGACCTATTTCTTTATGCACAGTACAGTAAGACCAGAGTTTTATAAGAACTTAGTGTGAAAGTAAAAGTACTGTTTTCTAGCTCTTCCTAATGAACTATTTCTATGTACAATTTTACCTGTCTCTAACTGAACCCATGATTGATACCCACAGATTTTTTTCAGGTTATAAACTCTTATCTCCTACAGTTTTCTACATGGAAATTACAGATTCTTCTTTCATTGTCAATGTTAAGATGATCTTTTTAAAATTCATGACATAATCTGTTGCTTGATTTTTTAATCAATATGTTTTTCTTTAGAACTGTACCTCAGAGTAAAGAGTGTCATAGACAATTCAAAACCCACTTGAAGAATAAACATTGGAGTGAGTTTTGAATGTTCATAATTTTGAACGTTGAGAGTGGTGACTATGTTTACATCCTCAATTTGTTTATTACACACTGTGTACATGCCTTTAAAGACCATTCTGTAACCTACAAAGATGTGTAATAATTATATGGAAATCAAAAATTACAATATTTAAAGAAAAAGAGGCTTGGGAATAATGTCTTTCTCTGTCTCTCTTTGTCTATCTTGCTCCTGGAAAAAACAAATAAGCATTAAAAAAGGTGCATGGAAGACTTACATTATAAACAAATGCATGAATTTAAAAAAAAATTTGCACCAAAATAAACCTGTACTTTAATTTGTTTTCTATGAACTTTTTGATGTTCCTAAGTATGATTTTCATTTTTTTCTCACTGTGATTACTTTTTCATTCTGTTGATTTTGTTCTTTGAGTCACAGAAGTTTATAATTTCAGTGGAGTTGTGTTTCTATTTTTACTTTTGTTCCCTGAGCTTTTGGTGTCAAATCTAAGAAATCGTCGCCAATTTCAATGACATGAAGCTTTAACCCTGTTTTCTTCTAAGAGTTTTATAAAATTTATAGCTGCTACATTTTGATCTTTGATGTATCTTGAGTTAATTTTTTAATATAGTGTAAGGTAAGGGTCCAACTTCATTGTTTTCCATGTGGATACAGTTTTTCCAACATTATTTGCTGAAAAGATGTGTTTTTTCCCCAAATGAATGGTCTTGGTGCCTTTGATAAAAGTTATACCAACATGTGTACAAGGGTTTATTTTGGGACTTTCTGGTTTATTACATTGGTCTATATATCTGTCTTCATGCCAGTCCTAAATGGATTACTGTAGCTTTGAAGTCAGGAAGTGAGACTTCCAACTTTGTTCTTTTTCAAGATTATTTTAGCTACTACTTGGGGTCTGTTAGGGTTTTGTATGAATTTTAATATGGATTTTTCTATTTTTGCAAAAATAAAGTCACTGGGGTTTTAAGAGGGCCATAGAACTTTTGAATTCTCTCTTATGGGGAACATTTGTCAGACAAATGAGGGAAGAGTATTTTAGGCAAAAGGAAGAGGATGATCAAAAGCATGAAAGGATAAAAGAGCTTGGCTTTTTGGGGAACTAAAAGTAATCTGTAATTGTTGAAGCATAAAGCATGCTGGTATCTCTGTGTGTAAATGTATGTCAACTTGGATAGGAGAGAAAGTAGGCTTTAAGGTACGGGACAAATATTGTGGAAGTGGATGGATGGATGTTGTGTCGAAAGTTTAACTGAGATTAGTTGAAGGGCTGAAAGTCGAGTGATGTGATCAGATGACCCTGTTGGTTAGAGTGGGTGAGGAAGATTGAGCAGGAAGAAGGTGTCAGCAGAAAGACCAGAGAGGAGACTGTTGTTGCACAACTCCCAGAAATGAAGCAATGAGACTTGTGCTGTGCTAGCATTAGTGGGGATGGGTAGGAGGAGAGCTATCTGAAATAGCCTTATCTTACTACATACTTAAACATATTCAAGTAGCTTCACTGTTTTCTTGGTTCTGAAGTCCTGTGTTTGCAAAACAACCTTCTAACTCAGAGTGGTGGTTCTAACTAGTTACCTGTATCATCCAGCTTTCTCTTTTTAGGAATGTCTGTTGAAGGAAGCCACATGCTTTGGCTTAGAGGCTCAGGGGTCCCTCAATAATAGCCAGCCCTTTCTCCTATCCTCATCCTAACGTTCTTTGGCCTCTTGCTGCTCCAAGGGCCTTCTGGTTATTTCTCTCTCTTCTGTGAATTGGTATGTCTTTCCTTCTTTTGGCCTTCCCTGAAGCCTGCTGGAATCCACCAGAGAGAGTCGTAACCTTTTCTATTCACCTCATGGAGCTGCAGCTCCTCTAGGTCTTTTCATGTGTCCCATGTTACTAATGCCTAGAATCCACTGAAGGCTCAAGTGTCTTCTCCAAAAACTGGAACTTCTGCTTTTCTAGCTTACTCCAAGCCTGATATCCCACCACACCTTGTGACTCAGTTTCCCACCTTCAGCTCACAGAGGCATCAGGTGCTAGTCATGGGGAGTCTTTGCCACTTCTCCCACACACACCCTTAGGAGCTCTCTGTGTGACCTTTGCTGAGGGGACTGGGTGATGACAATGGACCAGAGCAGCAGTAGCAGTTGCTGGGGAGAGGATGTGCTCCTCTAGTCAGAGGGTGAGCCGCTGAACACTGAGATCCTAAGTCCCCGTTCTGACTCCTGGTGGGATGGTCCTATTCATGTGCAGTCTGTGGGCTGTGTGTGTGTGTGTGTGTGTGTGTGTGCGCACACGCGTGTGTGTATGTATGTGTATATGTGAAATTGACCCATCCCAGTCACAGGTGGAGGCATGGAGCTAGGAGCAGGAAACAGGTTTAGCTCCCTAATCATTGTGGGTTATTTTAGAACTGGAACCAACCTGGCAGTTCTGGGATAACTAGTTCTGACTCATTGCCAAGGACACACATTTGTGACCCGAGGGATGAGGCAAACTGATCAAGGTACACAGTGTCATCAGTGCAGGCTCTGGAGAAAGTAGAACAGAAGAGGAGAGGACTGTGGTTTGAGATTAAAATGTGGTGATGAAGGTGAAGGTGATTTGAGCCCCGTGGACTGAGCCTCGAAGGCGAACCAGGGAGAATACAGTAACGAGCAGGGAAAGGTAAGGAGGAAGTGTCAAAGTGGGCAGTTGGAAGGAGATGGGAAGAGAAAAGAGAAAGGCCAGGAAGAAGAGACGTTAGGAGCTACTGCTTCCTTGAAAATTATGCTGGCTTGAGCAAAGAGGACAAGACCCCAGATCTCCATAGCCTGCAGACTGGGACAGTTGGCTGGCATTTAAGAGACTGGCTCTTTGTTCTTGAGTCCGGGCTACTGGAACATAGCCTTAGGAAAGCAGAATGTGTCTCATTCCCCACTCTGTGTTCCTAGACAGAAGAGAAGAGAGGGAGAGTGGCCACACTGACTCAGCTGAAGCATCTCCCGGGGTCTCCTCTGGATGCCACACGAAGTTGCCCTTCAGCCGCAGCACGGAGCCACGGGGAGATCACGGAGCACGTGGAGATGGCTCTGCTCACCAACCTCCTAGCTGCCTATGCCTTTGTGTCAGGTAGGTGCCTGGGCTTGGCGAGGCCAGGGCTGAGGCTTTGGACTGAGTCCAGAGCTGTCTTTTGTGTGGTCATCTCAGGCCTTATACTCAAGAGAGAAATGCTGTGTAGTTAAAGTGAGAGCTCTGCTGTGTTTTGAGATGAAAGGTCTTTTGGTTGGGAGTTAAGCTTGGCATTCCCTAATCTGGCAAATGAAGGGTTCTAAGAGCTCTATCTTGCTGAAAATAGTCAGTTTCCTCTCTGCTCAAGTGAGTAAAGTAGCCTGGGGCTACTGCTGGCTTCTGTCATTATGCATTAACTCTGATGAGGGCAGGTTGGAGGAGGACTTCAACCCGGTTATTTCTATACAGGTCTCAACCCACTCAGGTCACCACCATGTTTGCGTGTGTGTGTGTGTGTGTGGGGGGGGGTATATTTAGGGGACCGTCTGAGGTGTTTGATAATTTAGTGGCAGATATGGAGACAAAGTACGTAAGTCTGGGAGAATCTGATATTTGGCCCTTCCTTGATTCAAATTTGTCTTCATCACAGAGATGGCTGACATTCTCAAGATCGTTTCTTGAGAACAAATGCTGTTTACGTTTTTAAAAAGCCATTTCAAACCACATGAAAATGTTTAGTGGTTTGTGTGACCAAACTGCTGCTCTGCTGCATGAGTTCTTAAGTTTTTGATAGTTTTCTTTTCTTTTTCTTTCCCTGCCCCCTCCACACACCAATGTCTCTGGATGTTGTGTAATGAGGAAGGGACTGAGGTTCTGATTAGATTTCTCTTGAGCAAGAACTGGTTTTACTTTCTAATTCTCTAGCCAGGGTTGATATGTGGTGACCTAAAAGTTCAAATGCAAAACCTGACATTTCTATTTACAATGGCAAATCTCAGCCAAGGATAAGGAGAAAGGAAGCTCATAGCGTCTCTTTGTAAGAAGGTCTCAGGTGACATGCAACCTGATTCAGAAAAAAGGACTTCTCAGACTTACCTGACTGGCTCCTTTGTGGTTGGCAAGATGCAACATGTGGTGCACACGTGCCTCAAGACCAGGCCTCTGCCTTCTTGATTCAGTGGTAACCCTGGCCTTTGGTCAGCTCTTCACCCCACTTAAGTCAAGTGCCTTCTTCACTGGGTACCTCCACACCAGAGGAATGTAATCTTTGCTCTTTCTTTGAGAATGTATTGGGGAGAAAGGACACTGAAGCTGGAAAAGAGATGTATGAAGCTCTGGCATTATGTTTTCACAAGCAATTAAATGATAATCCCCTGAACGCTGAAGTGAGGACAGTCCCAAAATGAAGTGGAGGTGACAGAGAGAGTCTGGAGATTCCAAGGTACACTTGCAAATCAGCTGTTACAGAAAAGCATCTTGGGTGAAAGCAAACAGAAAATCAGACTTTGGATCTCTGCTCAGCACAGGAGGTACCTGGCACGCTTCTGTTTTGGCCAGCGTGACCTTGAGTTGTGACCACTGGATGTTGTAACTCATTGAACAATCTAGTGTTTACTATGTGTTTTGTGATCTAAAAGGGAACGTGACCCTATTTCTCACTCCTCTCCAATCTTTTTCCTTTTTATTCCATATTCTGGAGTAAAACACTGCTTGGGATGCAGGAAGACAACACTTTTAAGTATGGACTGAGATAAAAAGAGAATACGAAGAAATGGAAAGTAGAGTGGCTAAAATATAATTTTTTAGATCTGGTAAATCAACTTGATGACTGAAAGTAGATTCTTAAATGGGAAATACTTTCTGATAAAAAAAATGTAAGGGTAAATATAACAGATACAAATGGTAGTTTTTTGTTTTTGTTTTTGTTTTTTAAGGTTTTTGTCATAGGGTGTGTTGTGCCTGCCAGAAAGAGTCAGAGAGAAAGTGAGAAATCACCCCCCAGGGGTGGTGGCCACACTACAATTCCTTTTCCTCCATCTTGCCCTCCCTTTGGGATTTTGGCATACACACACATGTGCCCGGCATATTTCTCAAGCTGCTAGGTCTGGAACTTAAACCACACATTTGGCCCTCTGGGAGTCTTGCTGCCTTAACCACCAGGCCATGGAGCTGGCCCATGATTTCAATATTTAATTCATTTGCCTGACTCACATATCCATTTCCTAATATTTTTCTTAAAAATCACCTTCTCAGTGGGTTTTCCTCTGATCATTCTACCTCCTCCCCACCAGGGTACATTCAGTACTCTATATCCTCCTTCCCATTTTTGTTTGTTTTTGTTTTCACCTCCTTTTCACTGTATCATCTAATATATTGCATATTTTATTTCTTACCCATTTCTTCTACTATAATTGAATGTAAGCTCCAAGGAGCAGAGAGATTTTTGTTTCTTTGGTTGACTACTATCTCCTCAGCATGTAAAATAGTGCACCTCTATTAGATACTCCATAAATCAGTGGAGGAATATGGCTCAGTGAAAATCAACATAAAAAGACATATAGTAAGATGTGAATCCTAGAGCTGTTCACTCTATCCGGCTCTCAAACTTGACCCATCACCAGGTTTCTATGATCCTTGCAAATTTCTTTAGGCAAATGTAAGAAAATATGAGTGTTCAATCCCCTCCTTCTTTTATACACAGATAGCATGTCATACCTACTATTCTACACTCTGCTTTTTTTCACTGAGAAATGTCTCATAGAGATATTTTAGATCAGTATAGAGAAGTTTTCCTCATTCTTCTAAGCACTGTTATATTGCTAGTTTAGCCTGTCTTCTATAGATGGTCAGTGTGAATGGTTCAACTCTTTTCAGACAGAGCCAAAAAAAGCAGAGCTACCATAAATACCTTCGGCATACATGTTTAAGTGCCTTTGTAGAATAAATCCCCCAAGTAAAACTGCAGGATCAAAGTGTGTGTATATAAGTTAGTAATTAAGATAAATATCACCCATTGCCATTAAGAGTTTGGCCAATTCTTCTTTTTTTAAAAAAATCGTGATAGAGTGCATGACCACATGTACACATGCACATGCACATGAGACAGAGAGAGAGAAAAGAGCATCCTACACAGGATTCGGTCATGCTACAACCCCCTTCCTCCAGTTCTCCAACCCACTAGGGACCTGGTGTGCAAATGCACCTGACGTCTTTTCTCACAGACCAGACCAAGTAATCAAAGCACACGGCATGTGGCTTCGAACTCCTACAGAGGCTGATCTCGATTTCATCTGTGGGTTGTATGAAAAACCCCTATAAGTGTTTTTAAACTTTTGGATTTTTGATGGATTAATAGACGAAAAGTGATCTATAGATGTTATTTAATTTCTATTTCTGTAGGTCACAGGTCAGCAAACTATTTTATTTATTTATTTATTCATTCATTTATTTATTTATTTTAGTTTATTCCTTTAAGAGAAAGAAAGAGAAAACACAAAACAATAACCCATAATAAAGAATCACACCATGATCTCCATCCCACCCCTGAGTCTTCCCAAGCAGCCAGGGTTGTAGGCATATGCACACAGGCCAGAGTATACAGGTCTCGCTGGGAACTAAACCCCAGTCTTCTGTGTGGCCTCCAACATTACAGAGTATTGTGCTACCACTATACCATCATGACTGGGCCAGCAAACTTCTTAAATAAAGGGCAATAAAGGGCTAGAGAGTAACTGTTTTCAGTTTTGTGGGCCAGTTTCTGTTCTAATGACTCAACTCTGTACTGTAGCATGAAAGCAGACATAAACAATACATAATTGAATGGCCATGACTGTGTTTCACTACAATTTTATTTACAAAAACAGGTGACTGGCTAGATTGGGCTTCTGAGCCATGGTGCATCAATCCCTGTTTTAGGTGAACTTCTCTCTATGTGTTGAAGAATCATTTGTATTTATTTTTCAGGGAATTGTTCATCTTTTGTCCATTTTCTTTATTGGTTGTTGATCTTTTTCTTAATGCCCTTTCTAAGTGTTCTTTATACCTTAACCTTTTATCAGTAAAAAAATTACACATTTCTTCCTAATTAATCATTTGCTTATAAATTTTTTTCTTATTTTGATTACTACTATTATTTATATATATTATTTATATATAAATAATATAAATTATATATAAATAATATATTATATTCAATCACTGTATATATTTATAACAAACAAAGTAAGTTTTCTGGACATGAATATTGTGTGTATTAGTCCAGTCTAAGATATTACCATACACATTATCATCAACAGATAATTTTCCATTTTTGTGTCCCTTGAATATTTTGCTCCTGGGACCTGCAGATGGTGTAATAGTTACATCGCTGGACTCCCACATGGCCAGCAATGGTTTAAGTCCCAGACCCAGTGGCTTGAAAGTCACACCAGGCGTATATGTGTGTCTGCATCCAAATCCCAAGAGGAGAATGGAGGAGAAAGGACTGTGGTATGGCCATCTCCCTGGGGAGAGAGTTTCTTGCTTTCTGTCTCTCTGTCTCTCCAGTAAGCACATGCACCCTATAGCAAAAATCTCTCTAAACAAAATAAATGTTTTGCTTCTTTTTTCCCCTTGAAATCCCTCCCTATAATCCCCCACTTATTTCCCACCATCGTCCCACACTGTCTCTAGTATCCACAGTTGTCCTCCATGCTTTCATAGCTTCAAATCTTTCAGTTTCTGTCATAGAGTATAGGCATTTGGTATATATGAAGTGGGGATATACAATGCTTCTCTTTCATAGCCTGGTTCATTTAGCATTATATCTTCCATACTCACCCATGTTCTGTAAAATGCCAGAGTCTCATTGTTATTTATGGCTGAGTAGTATGTCATATGTGTATGTGCCACACTTTTTCAATCCATTTATCTGCTCACGGACATTTGGGGTGGTTCCATATCTTAGCAATTGTGAATAATGGCACAATAAACAGGGATGTGCAAGTATTTTTCTGACTTAGTGTATTTCTATCTTTTGGGTAGATATCCAGGAGTGAAATTGCTGGATCATATGGTAGTTCTATTTGTAGGTCTTTGAAGAACCTCCATATTGTTCTCCACAGTGGCTGTACTAATTTACA